AACAAAAGACAAGAGCTATATTTAAATAAGGAAAAAGTGTGACCCCAAAAAGAAAATAAACCAATTGTTAAGTACCCCACATCATTTACACAACAAAATTCACTAGCATGAATCAGATAACAACAAAATAGAAACAATATAATACAAAACACAAACCCAATTGTCCAATAAAAAAATAAACATTTATATAAACAAAGCATTTTCACATACACTCAAAGTTGAATAAAAAAATAGGTTTTAGCATAAACAAAACTACTTTTTGACCAAAAAATTATTCAATAATTTTCATACTTCATTGAATACATGCAACACGAAAGTTCGTCATTCACACACTTAAACTGCACAGTAAATCTCATATGATAATTTGGTGTTTCTTGTCTAGAATCAAAACTGTTGTTCTCTTCCCTTACCACCCAAGACATTTTTCCAACCTTCAAGCTTTAAGCCGCGATCTGTAATAGCAATGAAGACCTTTCTGGAGGAAGAATTGGCCCCCCTTTTCAACAAAGCCCTTCTGGTCAAACAATCACAATGGTTTTTGGGTTACAGGGATGGTGGGTCTGTGGTGTTTTTACAAGAAAACCCTTTTGGGAATCACTTGTGTCTCACGTGATTCTTGGGTTAACAGAAATTTGGACGTCCGTCAGGTCTGGGGCCAGTGTCACCAAATAATAATATTGAGGGTGCAATTTGGAACAATTGATCTTTCGTGGTGTAAATTAATTTTTTTTTAATCTTTCAAGGGGCAAAGTGTCATTTGCCCTTAATATTGTAATGGTCTAATTGTTGAACCAGCCCGGTTTAGTGTCTAGGTCACTAGCTTTTCGAATTTTGGGTCAATCGGTTGGATTGGGTTTTAAAACATTGTTTTGGAGCGACGAAGAAGAGTTTGAGAATGCAAAGAGAGAGGTGATCAAGAGAGGGAAGTCTAATATTATGGCAAAAAAGCCACAAAATGGTGTTATTTTATGGAGTGTTTTTTACCCTTCTAGACCCTGTCTAAACGATGTTATTAAAACCGTTTGGTTCAACGGATTTCAACGGGTCTGATGCTTTGATGATCCAACCCAGCCTGGTTTAAGTTTCAGTCTGTCGATATTCCAAGATGACCCACCTAGTCGGGCCAGGTTTGACCCCTAAACTTTGGCTCCTAAATTATAGACTCAACCTCACTTTGCCCTTTAAATTTTGAAATTTTCACATTACCACCCCACTAATTGAATTTTTTCACAATGATATAATCGCAAACTTTTTGCTATTTTTTTTTATAGAAATTGCCAACATGTTTGGATAAAATGAAAAAAAAATACATAGTTTAGGGATAAAGTAAATAATTTTCCACTAAATATGTATCAAACGTTAATAATAGAGATGTTATTGCCCAATAAAAGATTACCTATTGATGCCTTACTATCACTACGATGATGGTCTTAAATTTTAGATTTTATCGCCCAGAGATGGTGCTCTAGTATCCGGAGTGGTTTCCGATGTAGTAACTCATGGGTTATCCCTTACACAAATATATACATGTGATAAATGCATCAAAAGGCAGACCATCAGTCATCAGTCATCAGTCATCAGTCACTCTAGCCTTATCATAAACTCGATTTTGTGCAAAATGAAGTTAGGCTCGATTTTGGAGTGGAAGTGTACGATTAGGGGTAGGCTCCGACTTCGAACTATTATGATTCCGTCTTCGACTCCATCTCGTTAGAGGTGGAGCAGAGTATCAGAATTGGGCTGAATTTGGGCTAATTTTTGATNTTCGTCTCCGACTCCATCTCGTTGGAGGTGGAGCAGAGTATCAGAATTGGGCTGAATTTGGGCTAATTTTTGATTGGGTTTTCTATTGTTTTTTTCTTACTTTTGGTGGGATTTGGGCCAATTTTGAATGGGATTTTGGCCATTTTTTTTGGCATTTAGGCTAGTTTCTAAATTATATAATAGGGGTTTGGGCCAAATTTTAGATAGGGATTTTAAATTTTTGTATAATAATATATTATATGATTTATAATTTATATAGATTATTTATTAATTAAAATTGGAGTCAAAGTTTTTTCGAAAAAAATGTTTTAGATTTTGATTTTGATGGAGGCGGAATTGGAGTCGGTGTTCGATTTTTGAATTCTTGCATACCCATATGTGTTAGATATAATGAAGAAAAATCAAGTCTTAAAGCTTTGAGTTTGATTTTCTGTGCGGGAGCTGGAACTATGTGGAGGTCACCTGAGCAGTCACTAAAGCTGTCTTGCACAACTACCCATTCCATACACCATCACTCCTTTGGACCACTACTCCTCTTCCAATCAACTCCATGAGCCTCAGAAATGTGCATGATTGTATGTACATGATTAGATACAACTAAATGCACATGGATGGATGAAATTAAGATTTATATACAATGCAATTTTTATATTTAAAGAAAAATGCACAAAGCCATTAATTATGATTATTCATTAAATAGCATATCAATCCTTATTTTATCATTTCCATGCATTACTCTAAGGCATATTAATGAATATAGAACTTCATTTTCATACATCATTGAAGCAATTTCCTTTTACTTTGTACGATATCACTTACACTTGTTCAAATTTTATCTATCTTTGATCAACTCATATGTAACATCTGTGAAACCAAACTTCGACAAAATTACAAATTTGTGTAGATCAAATCATTGATAAAGTCCTACATAAATTCCTAATGTNCCCCCCTTTTCAACAAAGCCCTTCTGGTCAAACAATCACAATGGTTTTTGGGTTACAGGGATGGTGGGTCTGTGGTGTTTTTACAAGAAAACCCTTTTGGGAATCACTTGTGTCTCACGTGATTCTTGGGTTAACAGAAATTTGGACGTCCGTCAGGTCTGGGGCCAGTGTCACCAAATAATAATATTGAGGGTGCAATTTGGAACAATTGATCTTTCGTGGTGTAAATTAATTTTTTTTTAATCTTTCAAGGGGCAAAGTGTCATTTGCCCTTAATATTGTAATGGTCTAATTGTTGAACCAGCCCGGTTTAGTGTCTAGGTCACTAGCTTTTCGAATTTTGGGTCAATCGGTTGGATTGGGTTTTAAAACATTGTTTTGGAGCGACGAAGAAGAGTTTGAGAATGCAAAGAGAGAGGTGATCAAGAGAGGGAAGTCTAATATTATGGCAAAAAAGCCACAAAATGGTGTTATTTTATGGAGTGTTTTTTACCCTTCTAGACCCTGTCTAAACGATGTTATTAAAACCGTTTGGTTCAACGGATTTCAACGGGTCTGATGCTTTGATGATCCAACCCAGCCTGGTTTAAGTTTCAGTCTGTCGATATTCCAAGATGACCCACCTAGTCGGGCCAGGTTTGACCCCTAAACTTTGGCTCCTAAATTATAGACTCAACCTCACTTTGCCCTTTAAATTTTGAAATTTTCACATTACCACCCCACTAATTGAATTTTTTCACAATGATATAATCGCAAACTTTTTGCTATTTTTTTTTATAGAAATTGCCAACATGTTTGGATAAAATGAAAAAAAAATACATAGTTTAGGGATAAAGTAAATAATTTTCCACTAAATATGTATCAAACGTTAATAATAGAGATGTTATTGCCCAATAAAAGATTACCTATTGATGCCTTACTATCACTACGATGATGGTCTTAAATTTTAGATTTTATCGCCCAGAGATGGTGCTCTAGTATCCGGAGTGGTTTCCGATGTAGTAACTCATGGGTTATCCCTTACACAAATATATACATGTGATAAATGCATCAAAAGGCAGACCATCAGTCATCAGTCATCAGTCATCAGTCACTCTAGCCTTATCATAAACTCGATTTTGTGCAAAATGAAGTTAGGCTCGATTTTGGAGTGGAAGTGTACGATTAGGGGTAGGCTCCGACTTCGAACTATTATGATTCCGTCTCCGACTCCATCTCGTTGGAGGTGGAGCAGAGTATCAGAATTGGGCTGAATTTGGGCTAATTTTTGATTGGGTTTTCTATTGTTTTTTTCTTACTTTTGGTGGGATTTGGGCCAATTTTGAATGGGATTTTGGCCATTTTTTTTG